GTAATAGTTTAGTTTTTCTTTACTTAATTTTATTTTGTTTAGATTTCTTTACTTGTATGAATCGTGAAGCTTGTTCTTTTTATTTTTTATGTTTATTTTCTATATTTGATATTTGTAATATTGTTCGATTTGTTTTTTGTACTTTTCTTTTAAATTTAATAATAAAAGATAAAGTCATAAGACTGTTTGCTCATAATCACCAAATATGGACTGTCCCAAATGTGTGACTATAAAGAGAGTTGACTGTATGTACGGAAAATAATAGGAGATAAAATTTTATATTTGAGACTGGAGCATCGTATAAGACACGTCAGAAGGTCACGTGGAAGGAAACCTCAGAGAAACCAAGATGCAAAAAGGAAGAATGATTATTGTTCGAAAGTAAATCTGGAAGGCCAAGTGATGGTAAATTGCGAAGGGCTGCAAGAAGTTCATCGTATGTTTGTTTACATCCTGGTGAAGAAGATACCTTGGTAGCAAGTTTGACCAGAAAGCGTTTGATGAGATTTGTAGTCACATCTTTATGAATTGGAAGCATAGAGTGATCCTCATCAATATCCAAATAATCAGGAGAACAAATAAAAAGGTATTCCAATATTTCCATAAAAATGCCGCAAATCGGACATAAGGAGTCATCAGCATATAGACCAGGAAATCTTTGGAAAAGCTTATACATGATAGGAAGTTCATTGAACCAAAGCTTAAGACGAAATTGAGTAAAAATTGAAGATTTTGACACAGCAAGGTTCTGATAAAGGGTTTGTTTGAAGGTTTCAAAGGAAAGCGACCAATCCACAGAATGAAAAGTAGATTGCAAAGGTAAGAACTGTGAAAGTCCTATCAATGAAAAGAAATGGCAAATATCTGTAAACCCCTGCCAGTATTTGATCGGATCTTGAGTTAAAAGTTCATCATGACCAGTAAAGAGTCCCATAGTTTTCAAGAAAGAAGGAAAAACATCATCCATGAGCGGTATAGGTTGTAACAGATTATGCCAATTTGAGCCTTTGATGAGATTATAAGCCCGTATAGAAGGTGCAGAAATAGAATCTTTGAGGAAACTAGAAAAACTACAAGAAATTCGTTTGGATTTCAATAATTCTGAGATACAGAACCATAAGGAGTTATTCTTTAATCGAACTCGGCGTACAGGAGAAACTTCACACCATTTTGGAAATGACTCATTAAACTTAAACAAAGATACAAAGGAGACAGAGGTATCCAAAGGAAAGGAGTTCAACACGTATAAGACAAAAGCCAATTCTGCGACATCATTATAAGGAGAAATCATAGGACAGGAAAAAATTCCAGAGTCAAGTATGAAATCGTCAAGGGTTTGTATCCAAGCACAGACCAACAGTGAGGTTAGAGAGTCAACAACATGTATAGTTCCAGATAAATGGAATTTGGTATCCGGACGTAAAGCAAAGGCAGGGCTTAATATTGGAGTAAGATCAGGTAATAAGGCAGGAGAAGTGTCACAATGCATTAAAGGTGGTTGAGTAAGTGCTAAATATCGTTCGGGAATATATAATTCAGAGAATCCAAGAAGAAATCTAAAATAAGAACATAAAATAAAGGGAGAAAGTTTTAAATTAATAAATTGTTGAGAAATATCTATATGTATAGTCATTTGATAAAGTTGTAAACAACGATAAAAAGGTAAAACAGATAAACAAGAACGATGAATTAGTTTGCTGCTAACAGTTTTTAAAGCCAAAGGGCCTTTATCCATATCAAGGCAATGAAGAGAACAACCAGGGCAAGAAGTAATCTGCATTCGATTTTGTTGAGCAGAAATCCAATGAGAAAAATATACAACACGAGTTCCAGAATCATCGTCAAAGGTATAAAAAACCCGTCCAAAAATAAGAAAGCCAGAAAAATCCACTTCAGCAATCCAATAATATTTATTTCAGAGTCAAATATACGAGGAGGTGTCTATTGTATCAACAAATTTTTCAACTAAAGATGATAAGGATGGAGTAATATTAATGGATTCAATGCGTTTCGGTAAGTAGGAAGTAGGATTGGAAAGAGAGGTAATAATTTGAAACCAGGAAGGAATTTTTCCAGTAGGAGCGATAAGACCCATTAATTTAAGGTTGTTCCATGTATATTGAAAATTATAAAATGGATCCATAACTTGTGAAAGACACCAAAGAGCAGATTTAAGCCAAGAGCGCGTTTCCAACACAGCCAGGTCGAAAGATAAAGAGACCAAAGGACAAGCTTCGTTAGGCATTAACTCAATAAAAGTATGATCAGGAAAATCAAATTGAAGTCCAGATTCACGAAGTAATTTAATGGCTTGAAAAAGCCAATTATGACTGATGGAACGTCGTTTGGAAGTCCATGAGGAAAAATCTATAAGAGAATCAAGAGAAGTAGGCCACTTTAAAGTAAGCTGCAAGGTTCGTAACATAATAAGAACCCAATTTGCCTGTTTGGAATTAGAAGATAATAATGAAATCCAGGATAGAAAATGACATATAAGTCGTTCACATAAGGAGTCATAAGGATTAGAATCTTTACTAAAGAATCTACTAATTAGGGCTATTGAAGGAAAAGTACGAGCCACAGAAAGAGCTTTGCGTTGAAGACCATAATAACTACTGGCAATTCGCATAACCTGCGATTCTGACAAATACAATACTTGAGAACGGAATTGTACTTTTGGTAAAACAACCGACGAATGAAGATAGGCTAATTGAGCAGGTGAAAGCTTCTTGAATCGTACAGATGCAACAAAAGAAAAATAAATGTCTTTAAATTGTGAAAGGACAAAATTAGGGGATCCTTGCAAATTGAACCAAACACCCAGAAACTGAAAGGATGAAGATAATTTCAGAACTTGTAATGAAAAGCTCATTGAGGAAAGATGGTCTGGAATTTCAGAATCCAATTGAAATGAAACAAGACTGTTGCCGGTTGAAGAGGAAACCAACTCATATTTTGAAAAATTCGCTGTAATATTATTTAAAAAATAAAAATCACGAGCGATAGAAAGTAGATGTTCTAAGCCTGTCAAAGAAGAGGCAATCAATGTGGAATCATCCATGTAGGTGAGTTGAGTAATAGGTACGGCAACATCTACATTATTATTAATGCTAAGAATATTTGCAGGAATACCGGAACTCCATATATAAGGGGAAATTGCTGATGATGATAACTCAGTCAAAAGAGGGTCAAAATAAATAGTCCAAAAAAGTGGGAAAATAACCTCGCCTTGATCAATACCAATCAAAAGATCGTAAGATTCAGTTTTACCAAAGGGGTCAAAATTCTATTCTTTCTAGAAATAAATAAACTTATTATAAAATTGGAAAGATTAGAAGGAAATTTGAGTCGATCAAAGCAAAGTCGAAGCATGCTTAAATCAATAGAATCAACCGCTTTGGAAATATCTTGACTTAGGATCTAACAACTCACATTTGAGTTTGCTTAAAGTTTATATTAAAATTTTTCATATTACAGAATGTTTTCAAAATTTCATTATCCTACATACCCCTATTTTTAATATAACCAGTGATTCGATTTTAATAAAATTTATATCATTAGATTCGTCTTAATGAGAGGATTCTAATGATAGTAAAATCAAATTTCTAGCTTTAATATTGACAGAGTTATGTCATAAAATGTATTTTTACTTCAGTATTTAAAGTTTACTTGTAAGTTATATTAGTATTATTCGAGGTCCTACTAGAATATTAACTGAAACATCCTTTCAACTGAACCAATAAAAACTGGTATAGCTCTTTTGAAACAAAGTTTAAAATTATAAGATTTCTATCATGAAATACTCTTAAAAAGGAGTTAAAAATTCTAGTTCAATATTTAACATTCAGTTCAAAATCATTTATAAAAGTTGAATTTATGTTAAAGGGTTTAAAATGATTATTTATTTTAGAATAAGTGAAAATATTTATAAGTAACTATGCCACCATTCTGCTGGTATAAAAAAGAAGAGTACACAGTTTTTAATACTATTACATACATATAGCAATTATACTTATCTCCTGCTTTGCTAATATAAGAGAGAAATATGTTTTGGTCTTTACATTTCCGTGTATATATACTTTTGAATAGCAATTTTTCAGTATAATAAATCTATTAATCCTAAAAAAGGAATCAGTTATATACTTTCCTCAATATTATCAGGAATTATTTACTAATCCATTTTTTTTTCATTTAACTATAAGTTTCATTAAAAAAAAATCCACAACTATTAAGTCCACTGGGTTTTTTATTACAATCAATAAAGGTGTTTGATTTACTATGAAACCTATATATTATAAGGGATTCTAATAGAAAGATGCTAGATAATAATATATGAAATAATATAATAATACTTATTGAAACTTATCAAAAAAACATTTTACATATTCATTACATCTTTAAGTGGGTTTATTTTTATTTTTATTGTTCTTCAATATGAATTATATTAACAGTTTTTTAGTTCATTATTTTATTATATAATTGATCACTCAAATTAACATGGACTGATCACTGATAACGGAATTATTGAAAGATTATTTACTATTAATTTTCAAATTACTGAAGCTATCAAATAATTAAAATAAATTTTTCAATAAGTTATTTTCAGTAATTATAACTTTTCAAAAATATTTATTTTCAAACATTTACTAAAATATTAATATAGGTAAAAAATTTGCAAGATATATATATGTTGTGCCTCAGATCTATTCTTGCCTCAGTTAACAGCTAACGCATCTTAGATTAAAATCGTCACCTGACGCGCCTCATTTGAATCATATAAATTTAATCTACTATAAATAAACTTTTTTCTATTAATTAAATTGCCTTCATGTTATAAGTAAATATATTTGTCACAATAATGTACACATATTCTGAAATTTTTATACAATTTTAATTCCTATTAAATATACAATGCGAATATATTTAGAAAATTTGCATTATAAACACATTTTTAAATCAAGATTTCAAAAGCAATCATGAATCCAATTGATCTAAAATTTTAGGATTGAATATTTGAAAATACAGCAAATAAGTTTTATTAATAATCAAATGTACATTAAATTAGAAAATTTAATGCTTAATTATAATCAATTTTTTATTGTAAAGTGAGGCGCGTCAGGTGGCGATTTTAATCTGAGGTGCGTCAGCTGTCAACTGAGGCAAGAATCAATCTGAGGCACAACATATACATGTATTGATGATAAATAATGAATTATTAAGAAATTAGTTATTAATATGATGTGAGTTTACATAAAAATTTGTTGCTAGTATGACTTTTAGATTTATTTCAATTTGTTATATCTTATCACTTATTTTTAGTTATGATTCAATAGATTGTCTGAATAAGGATGATATATCTGAATATAAACATATGATGCAAAACATAGTTTTATTTATAGATACATCAATTTGAAAAAACTCAGATTACTAAATTTGATAGTGAGTTTAATTTTTGATTGACATTCTGTTAATAATTACTTATCAAGATAACTAACTCTTTTATATTCATTTCAAAAAATTGTTGATTTTAAGAATACACTTTAAGTAATAGTGATTCATCGTAATATAGGTAAAGATCTCACTAAATATGCTTGAATAAAATACAAAATCAATATTTTTATTAAATTACCAAATCTTCACTAGAGCCCTAATATCAAGTGTAATGAAATATCAGGTAACTTTCTAAAATACATTTACAGTCAACTCCCTCTATAATCACTCCCATTATAGTAGGACTCTGCCTACTATTAAGATAGGTCACCCTGTATCCAAAGAGTTCTAATTAATATTTGTACGACCATTGGACGACGAATAAATTCATGTATCAGAATTTTTAATTTTTAATACTCAAAAATTTTAAAAAAATGCGAAACTTGACATTATTCGCCATCCAGTGGTCATACATGGACAAATTTATATTTGTTAGATTCGTTTCACTGAGACATGTCGAATGGCGCTAAGATCATGTCTCTAGCATCGATAAATAGCTTAATAATTCCAATTATTAATAAATCATTTAGTGTGGGTTAATGTGTGATCTATCGATGCTAGAAATATAATCTTACCACCATTCAATGCGTCTTGTCGAGACGAATCCAATGATATATGGCTCGACTTTGTATAATCACTAGATAGGCAACTATTTGATTTTTCGCATTTTTATGAAAATCAGATTAAACTGAACCGAACTGCCGGTTTTTCAGTTTGGTTCTTACGGATTTCAGCTCTAATCCGAACTGTCTATAATTTGGACCAAAGCGATCCATTCGGAGCTTTAATCAAGATGAATCGAATGGTTGTAAGCTCATCTTTCTGTGGTCAATATTGATGGAGTTACTACTTAAAAATCATTTAATATTTTTTAATTTCAGAAATTGATCTAGTGATTGGATTTTGATGTATTTTATACCATTAGATTCGTCTCATCAAGACAAATCGAATGGTAGTAAAATTGTCTTTCTAGAATCAATATTGGCAAAGTCATTACACAAAAACTATTAATGTTTTTTTAATTTCAGAACTTTATCTAGTGATTGGATTTCAATATATTTTATACCATTAGAACTGTCTCATCAAGACAAATCAAATGGCGGTAAGATCATCTTTCTATGATTAATATTGGAGAAGTTACAATACAATAAATTTTTAAGTATAATTCTGACCAAAATTATGTTAATTTTTTGATATACTAATGTAAGAAATTTTTTATGTAGTCATATTTCTTTATAATTACCAAATATATACTATTCCAAATATGTGACTATTAAGGTTGCTAGAGAA